CCGGTTTCTTTGAAAAAGCATACAGAAAGTTTGCTGTAATGAGCATAGCATAATTACCTGGCTTGGTATAAACACCATCATAAATATAGGGGCCATCATAAATATAGGCAACAATACAATAAATTATTAAAATTTTAGATAATGTACCCATACATGAATTGCAATGTTAGATTTATTATTTTAAATAATACTTATACACTGAGAAAGAGAAAATACTTTTAGTTAGAAAATTTTCTTTCATGCAAGAATATACTCTTATATATAAATTCTTGGAAATTTTAAAGAATAAATAGATAGACAGATAAAAATTTTTATTGACTCTGGAGCCTAAGCTCCTTCAGAGCCATCAGTATTTAATACATCGGTTTATGAATTTGTATATAATACAACTCAATACAAAATTTTAATTTTAATAAAACAGAGATATATCAATTAACACGAAGAAGTAAATTAAAGTTAATATAGAAAATGATATTTAAAATTTTCAATTTTAAATGAGATCAAAATATATCTATATAATCTACATATATATAATATATATTTTGAAGATATAAGCTCATCCCGATGTTATACTCACCAAGAGCTTTCATTTGAGTACCCACATGCATTTTTGATATATTTTTCATATATACATATATATAATATATATAAATATATGAAAAATTGATGTGGGTACTCAAATGGTAGGTCTTGATGAGAGTAACATCGGGATGAGCTTATATCTTTAAAAATGTCAATAGTTGAGAAGATACAAGGTCATTTCTTAATTATGTATCTAGAGATATTTTCGAATGCAGCCTAAATACTTATCATAAATTGACTATTATACATTGGCCACAAAATTTTGCTCATTCTCTTAATAATATAGATTGAAAATCAAAAAAATAATTGATATTATTAATATCATCGATAAATAGTTAGATAAAAAAAAAAATAAAAAAGTGAAATTATAAAAACAGATGAATGGACGTGATGATGAGTAGACGAGGCCTTTGGCTCTATTCGCGTGTGTGCAATATCTTCAGATGGATAGATAGAGGGGCTGGAGGGTGGATGTGTTGCTGGTGACCTAGAAGGAATAACGATTCCCTCATACTCAGCCATAGCTTCAGCCTCAAACTCATGGGGGATTTTAATAAGGGGATGGAGGCTTATTCATATCGACGGCGTAAGCTCTCTCTACCTATATACCATATACTATACTATATACTACATTCTGTATACTGTATACTAACCGGCAGTGGTATTATATAGAGATAAAGTGCGTCTGCGCTTCCGAGCCCACCTGTAGCCCGCTACACCCCGACTCGCTCTTTAACGATCAATACATCATGAATATGATACATGCAAATGTGCTATTTCAATCAAGCTCATTTTCATTTCAATTTATCCCGCAAAATTGTTTTTAACTTCCTTTTATCAGGCACTCCCTTCCCCTTTTCCTTCCCCTTCTTCTTTCTTCCTTTACGACTTTTCATTCTTCGCGATCCAGATAAGGGTGACAGATTTTCTTATTTTGTCGTTTTTCTCTTCAGATGTATCACAGTGCTAGTAGATACAAGTTTTTGGCTTGTCGGAGATCCGGTTTGCTGAATTCAAAGCCATTAATGAGCATCACTATTATTATTATTATTATTATTATTATTATTTTTAGCAAAATATTAAAAATACGAAAAAATTATGAGAGATCTTTTTTTTAAGAAATTAAATTTTTTACAAAAAAAGTCTCTATATATTTTTTTGTCTTTGATATTTTGGACAGAATATTGAGTTAAAAGTAAAAAAATAAAATTTTTTGTTATTATTATAATAATTATCATTATTATTATGATTTTAAGCGAAATATTGTAAATTAGAAAAAATTATAAGAGATTTTATACAGAATATTGAATTAAAGTAAAAAAGTAACATTTTCTGTTATTATTGCAATAATTTTCATTATTTTTATAATTTTGGGTAAAATATTGAAAATTCGAAAAACTATAGACCTTTTTTGTAGGAAATTAAATTTTCTATAAAAAAAAGTCCTCATAATTTTTATTGTAACTTATTTTTCAGACAAAAGATTAATTTGAACAAAAAAAGATATTTTTTTTTCATTATTAATAAACATCTATTTTTGAAAACGCATTTGCGCAGTATTTTTGTTATTGTTTTGGTTTTCATTTGGGTGTCTAGTGTACTTTTGTTTATTTTTTCTGATAAAATATCACACCTAGACTCAATTTCTAAATACAACTCTAGCTAAGTAGGTTTGTTTGGGTTTTGGTTTTTGTTTAGGTGCCTGGAATGCTTTTGTTTATTTTTTTTCATGAAATATTGCTCCTTGACTCAATTTCTAACTACAACTATTGATAGTAAGTTTGTTTGCGTGTCTGGAGTGCTTTCAATTATTTTTTTTTGATAATATATCGCACCTAGATATATACTAAATTTCCGAATATATGACTATGATAGTAGGTTTAATTGTTTGGGTTTTGGTTTTTGTTTGGGTGTCTCGATAGGTTATTTTTATTTTTTTTTTATTTATTTTGGGATGAATGAACACGAAAAAAATACAAGTGAGGGGAAGCTTAACAAGGGGAGCGAACTGGGTCAAAGCTGAGTGTTTTCAACAAACAAAAGCTATTCAACTTCGGATCAAATATTTTTTGACGGAGATCAAAACGTCACTGAAATTCTTATTTGATGCAGGATTACATTTAGAATTCAGGGATTTGTTAGTTTTGGAAAATTATATGCTTCGATAAAAACGTAAGTCATAATATTATTTTTAAAAAATTTATTTTTGATATTTTATAGGCTTGTTTTGGAGGTTCCATGATCCTTCAAAAAAATATCCCGGTCAAAATATCTCCGACAAAATATCCCCGAAATAAATATCCCTGGACAAAATATCTTAGATAATTAAATTTTTTAATAAAACAATTCAAAACAATCAATTTGACAAAAAATATCAATTTTATTTCAACACTTTTAACATTTTAACAGCTTGTTACCGTTTTGTGTTCTTTTATTATGGGTTATGTGTGATATTAATTAAAAAAATTAATTTAATAAAATTTCTAATCTAAAATTATTTGTTTAGTCTCGGGGATATTTTGACAGAGGATCAAAACTTCTGATATCGTTTGTGATTTTACAAATTTTTTCTCCGCGTTTTTTGAATAGAATTTTTTTAGGCATTTTAAAATGTGGAAAAAATTCCACGTAAAATTTTTTCAACCTAAAATTAACCGATAATTATTTTACTGACTTTGAACTTCAATAAAATCGATAGAATTATAAAAAAATAAAATTTTAAGCCGGCTTAAAATTTAAGCTAACAATTTTATTTATTTTTCTAAGCTTACTCGGTATTTTTTCTTTGTAAGAAATAAAAGTAATTGACTTATAACTATAATCTCAACTTGAAAGAAAAATGAATCCTTTGTAATAAAGCTTGATCAGTTTTATCAAAATAAATAATTAGAACAAGCTCTTAATTACTTTAAATTGCTTGTAATTTTCAACATGAAACTTTATAATTAAATTAATATCGGTGCCGTTAAAATAATTACATAATCTAGTTAAATTTCCCGGAAACTAAAACATAGTTTCATTATTACGTTAATCTTATTATCAATCTATAAAAAAATATTATTAAAAACAAGAAATTTTTTAAATAAAAAAGTCGGAGATTTTTTTTTAAATTTCGTTACTTTTATTGCAGTTACGTATACGATATACATATTTTAAATATATATTTATTATATATAATATAAATTTATAAACAAACATAAACAACATGTACAGTATACAAGAGTACGAATATACAATTACAACTTAAGTACTTTAAATGTTTTATCGTATAAATAAAATTATTTCTACGGAGTTTGTTCTCAGTTCTGGAGATTTTTCGCTATAAAAATATTTAATGAAGAGAAAAAAAATGTTGAAATTATTTCTTTTGAAATAACTCTTTAGATCTTTCCCACGGAATTAATTTACATAAATTAATGAACAAAGATTCGTTAAATTTCTCTGTAGAATATTTTATCCCTTTATATAAAAAAAAATTATATTTAAAAAGAGAAAATTTGAATAAAAAAACAAACAGGAATTTTTATTCCGAAAAATCTTGCAGAACATTGTCGCTAAAAATTGTGCGTTAATTAATTATAAATAATCTTTGGGCACGCTCTCACATATTGTCTTAATATATTTGTAATTTGTATTTATCTAAGCTCTAAAAACGACCGAATCATCTCGTAATTAATTACTACTGTATAGTAATAAAATTACGAGAGTATACCAGAAAAAAGTCGTCTACACATCGATATATTGTCCTACTATTTTTAATTATACGCTCATTAAATTTGATATTAATGATTTCGGGTTATTAGTGCCAAAATTTCGTTTAAAAATTTTTTTTTTCTTTTAAACCTTTTTAAAAAATTTTATATTGAATAAAATTTGCAAAAATAATAAAAAAAAATTTTTTTTTGTCTTTTTAGCTTAAAAAAAATTTATTTATATTTTTTGCGTTCAAGCTTAAAAAAAATTAATTTTTAAGATTAAAAATTATTAAATTTTTGTAATTTAAAATTTTTAGAACTAAAAATTTAAAATATCAAATTTTCAAGACAAATTTTATCTTAAAAATTAAAGAATTTACTTTAAAAAATTTTTTTTTAAACTTTAAGTAAATTTTTAATTTTTTTTTAAATTTCTACACTGATAGAAGAATTTCTTAACATTTAAGAAGATTTCTTTGTATTTAAGAAATCATTTCTTAAATACAAAGAAATCTTCTTAAATGTTAAGAAATCCTTCTATCAGTGTAGTGTATTAAAATTAAAAAAAAAATTTTTTTAACTTTCTTTTTGGCAATAATAACGCGACTTGTATTTTTATTCGTGTGGGGGTCATTTAGATATTATAATTATTTTATTCCTTTAAATTAATAATAATTACCATAGCTAATTAAATTTATTTAATTCAACACAAGGACTAGGAATTCAGGCGGCCATCTCGCTGGCGACACACTTGTCGTACATGGCGTCCAAGACCTGAGTGAACTTGAGATGCCGCTCCTCGGGCGCGACCGCGGCTCCGCGACTTCCCCAGAGAAACTTTATATGAAACTCAGTCCTAAAAGCGTCCGTCAAAAGCTCGTCGCTTCTCCAGCCCTCCAGAGCTATTTCCGCGTTCCTCCGGAACACCGGAAGACTGTCGACCAATTTCCTGGAGGCCTCCAGGTGCGCCCACACGATTGACAGCCCACAATCCGGGGCTGAGTTCTCCCAGGGCGACAATATGGCTCCCACTAGGCCGGATGGTGCTGCTGTGCCTTTTTAATATAAATATTTAGATTGTTAATTTTTATTTTAAGTAAATATTAATATTTAAAAAATTTTATTATTAAGTACACGCCTTATAACGTTTGTTTAATTTTTGAGAAAAAAAATTACCAAGAAAAATGTAAAATTGATTAAAATTGAGTCTATTTTTATGCCGGGCAAATTTAAACTGACTAATCCCTCGCAGCGACCCGACGGTATTAAATCGAACGGATTAATTCCTTTTTTAAATTCCTTTGACCCTCGCGATACAGAATTCTCATCTGATAATTTTTATTATTATCCATTCTATTTTACGACACGACAGACCAATTTTCAATTCAATTTATCATTTTGCAATTTAGAATTTATCTTTTTTAATTCGCGAGCTTATTCAACTTTTTGGGAAATTTAAATTGTCTGGAATGTTTTTCAAGCGAATGCAATTTCGAGAGAAATTAATATCAAAATAATAATGTTCTAATGTGGTAATTGGGTAATTGTATAGAGCAATTATGTGGTTAATGAGTACTAGGTTATATATCAATCGATATTGCCGTTTGGGTACATATTTTACTCCTCATAATATTGTCACAGAGTTTATTTGATTGGAAATTATTTTTAAAATAAATATTAATGTGTAAATTGTTTGACGAATTTGGCAAACTAAACTATTTTTAATTTCCAATTGGGATTTTTATATCGTTTCTTCAATTAAAAATATTGTTATTATATATCATTTTGTTCATTAAATAAGTGTCTTCTTTGAGCTACTACTAATTACTTAAACAAAAAAAAATTTTTTGCCAGAAAAAATCCCAAAAAACGAAAGATTTTTTTTTGAAATGAACGATTTCGACTAAATTAAACTACTTTTAATCTTTAATTCATATTTTTATATCGTTTTTAAAATAAAATATATTGTTATTATAGGTCATTTTGTTTGTAAAAGTGTATACTTTAAGACACCATTAATAATTTTCCCAAAACAATTTTTTTTTCCCCAAAAAATTATAAAAAAATCAAAAAAATTGTAAAACTGCCGATTTCTATCAAATTCAACTACCTTTAATTTTCAATCTTTTTTTTTATACCTTTCTTTCAATGAAAAAACCTTTTAATATACATCATTTTATTCGTTAGAATGTCTCCTTTAAGCTTATAATATTTGCTTTCCCAAAAAAAATTTAGTTCCTCAAAAAAATCCTAAAAAATTCCCATGACCGCGAATTTTAACAAACAAAAATTTTTTTTTTTTTTAATTAACAAAATTACTAAATTTTAAATGTAAAATCAAAATTACTAATTGCAATTAATACCCGATTTATCAACTATTAATACCAATAAAAAATCATTATTTAATAAATAAACAGTTAATAAGGCTGATTAAATCGAATCAGTGATTATTGACCGAATCAATCCTAAATTTCAAGTGATCACCGAGCTGTCTCTTACAATTACGCGATAATAACCTCGATAAACACATGATACAATTAAACGGAGGATATATAAATAGACCTCGAAGGATTAATTAAATCGGCAAAGCTTTGAGGATAATAATACCCACCTAAAACATCTTCAGGAGCACGTTCGCCGAGCAAAGCAACAGGAAGAAGATGTGGGAGGGTAGTATTTGGCGCCTGGGGGTTTGTACATTCATTCATGGCTCTCAAAGTGGGTCTGAGCTTGGCTTCAAAGCTGAAGGCCTCGTCAGTGTACTTTTGCCTGAGCAGATGCCAAGTGTTTGCTAGCCTTTGAATTTGCGGGACACAAAGCCCGAGCATCACGCCGCAGAACCCGTACAGGTTACCTAGAGCGGTCTTGGTGTCGATCGCGACTTTGATCCACTTGCTGATGGTTGCTGCCCGCTCTATCGCAGTGGCTCCCGCCAGGACGGTCACCGCGACCAGCAGCTTCAGACACTCCGATCTCTCGATTAGGTCCAGCCGAGTTTGACGCCCGTGAGGCAGAGTCGCCAGCTCCAGGCCGCTCATCCCTGACCTAGTTCCCATCCCCGGGTTCAGCACCAGCTCCAGGTCCAGCCGGGTCAGGTGGGACGCGAGCACGCGTGGCGCTGAGTCGTGGAGCATTCCCGAAACTCCTCTGAGCGCTGTCGGGTCCAGGGGCCGGTGATCTCCCGTTGGTAATAAGAAAGTTTGGAAGCCTTCTATATCGAGGACCGAGGTGATCTCCATCGAGGGCGCTGCTACCACCAGTTGCTCCTCCGCCGATAGCTCGTACTCGCTCCCGTTGCCGTTGTACCCCTCTCCCGGCTGGGAAATGTGGTGGTAATGACTCCGGATCACAACCCCTTTTATTGGTAAGCTCGAGGGATTTGTTCCGCTACCGGAGTTGTTTCCTTCGAATTCGCTGTCACCTGAACCGTTTCCGCTGTCGCTTCCTGACGCTTGATAGCCCTGCAATTTTTTTTTTAAATAGTCATATGATGATATAATTGGTTTTTTTTAGTGACGTTTAGTGTCATTGCAAAGGTATTGACCTGAATTTGTGCCTTTTTAAGGTTTCTATATATCTCTAGATTTATAGTCAAGAAATGCTCTTGTATCTTGTGAACTATTGACATTTTTAAAGATATAAGCTCATCTTGATGTTACACTCATCGAGACCTTTAATTTGAGTACCCACATCAACTATATATATATATATATACATATATATATATATATATATATATATATATATATATATATATATATATATA